ATATATATATATATATATATATATATATATATATATATATATATATATATATATATATGTAAATGCATGTGTTTTTCTGTCTTTTATTTATCTCTGCGCTCCTCCAGCAGCAGCCGCCCGTTTGTTGTTTTTCTTTGATATCTCAGAATTAAACAAAGAAAGTAGAAAATAAATAAATAAATAAATAAATAAATAAATAAATAATTATTTATTTATCTGTTTACAAGTGAGAAGAAAACCAAAAAAAATAAATAAATAAAATTTATTTTAAATTTTTTTCATAGACTCAACTTCGGGTGTATCCTCACCTTTATATCGGCTTCTTTTTATACTCTTACCCAATATTAGTTTATATTGCTTCTTTTTAATTATATATATACATATATATGTATATATATACACACATACATATAGTGTTTATTGTTTATTCTGTATTGTTTATTGTTTATTGTTTATTTTTTATTGTTTATTGTTTATTTTTTATTGTTTATTGTTTATTGTTTATTGTTTATTTTTACTCTAATATATATATATATATATATTAAATATATAATTTAGCTGAGGCGTTAATTAATTGTGTGCGTTCAGCTTAAACTTTTTTTTATTGTTTTGTTTTCTCTGATGAAGACTAAAGAATAAATTATATTTTATTATTTAATATATAATAATAATAATTTATTTATTTTGTTGTTAATGAGGCTGTCAGCTGTTTTTTTTTATTATTCCTTCAGACTTGTCTGCTTAAACCCTTGCTTTCTTCTTTAACAATAACTAAATAAAGATATTATATTTTATTTATTATTGCTTTTGTTTATTAACAGCTCTTCTTGCTAATTATTTTGTTTGAATATCCTTAGTTATATCAAGGGGTATAAGAAAGATAAACAAGTTTTTAGCTAAAGATATAAATAAAAGATATAATACAAACAGATAAACAAACACGAGGCCCCTCTCTCTTCTCAAACTCTGAGAATGTGAAGAAGCAGCAAATTTAACAGCATATATATATATATATGCATATATATATATATATGTTAAAGAGAATATCAAAGCCCCTGCTGTATGCATATCTATACTAAGCATACCCCGTGCATGCATGCATAGATAATGCTTTAATAGCTGCGTTATTAATATATATTTTTATATAAAGAAAAATATATAGTTGAGGCCCATATACTAAGTACAGGGATATAATATGCATGCATTTACCCCTTAATTAACAAAAAAATCTGTCGTAGACAGGGATAAAGAAGCAGTAATTGCATGCATGCATGCATGCATGCATCTTTATCTTCATGCATGCATGCATGCATGCATGAAGATAAAGATAAAGATATAACAACACCAGAAAGGCTTTACTTAGTATGTACACCTCAACTATATATAATTATCTTAATATAAACATTTATATTAATAGCATGGGTATTAGAGCCTATACTTTATCTCTTTTTATAGCTAATACAAATATATTTTAAATTAAATAAATATTTTTAAGTTTATTGTTTAAATTTTATTTTATATTTTATGTATTTACTCTTCTTATAAATTTATAAACAGCGTCCCTACCCCCGTCTAAGACGTAGTTTTGTCGTTATTAAGGGCTAAGTGCATGCGCATGCATGCAGAGAAAGATAAATATAAATAAAATAAAAATAAAATAATAATAATTTGTTTTTAAAATATTTTTTTAAGCAAAAAAGAAAATTTATATATACAAAAGATTATGCAGCTCCGTCTTCAGTTTGGGGCTGCTGCAGCGCATGCAGCAGAGCAGCGGCTTCAACGGGGTGAACAGCGATTAAAATAGAATTATTTTATCAGTTTATATGAAATTTAGGATAAAATAAACTGTTTTTTATTTATATTCGAGCAAACACAAAGAAAAAACAACTCCAAAAGCCCGTCTACTTCTGTTGGTGCTGCCTTGAGGTGTATATACACCTGAAGGCTATCTTAATCTTTCTTTTTTTTTCTTTGTTTGTAAATAATAGGGCTTTTAATTAAATCCACAGACATACACTTCATCACCAGGCGGTTAATGCATTTCTTTGTGTTATATCCTCTCTGGAGTTTGCTGTGCAACGTAATAGATTAAAAAAGAAAAGAAGCAGGGGCTGCTTTATCCTATTAATTCAGCAGAGTAGTTGCTGCATGCATATTATATATATATATATTTGCTGCTTTGTATAGAAGCAGCAAGGCAGCAATTATATAGGCCTGCAGTATTATTTATGTTTCTTTGTTGATAATTATTGCTTAGTTTGTTTAATTTAATTTATTTTTTTCTGAACTCTTTTTAATTCTTAAGAATGGCGGATGCAATTCTGAGGCGGGAAATAAAGAGGCTTGTTGAAGAGCAGAAGACTCTTAATCAACGCCTTCAAAGAAAACCTCCAGCAGCAGCAGCAGCAGCAGCAGCAGCAGCAAGCAAAGGCAGCAAAGGCGGGGCTCATGGAGAACAAGCAGCAGATGCTGCAGCAGCAGCAGCAGAAACGGGTTCGCAGAAGCGTCCAGCGGTGAGACACAAACACCGCAAAGAAATAACAACAACAGCCAGCAGCAGCAGCAGCAGCAGCAGCAGCAGCAACAGCAGCAGCAGCAGCAGCAGCAACAGCAGCAACAGCAGAGATATCAACATATTTATCGGCATTTGTTTGTGCTAGGGTAATGAGGGGTTTTTTAGTTTTTTATTTCTGTCGTTTTTTTGTTGTTTCTGCTTCTTGTTGCTGTTTCTTCACATTGAGGTGTATATGCAGCTTTAGGTTTATATACAGCTGAATATATACATCTTTAAGTATATGCTCAGGTGTATATGCAGCTTTTTATGTTTGTTCGCATGCAGGGGGTCGGAGGCCCCGCCTATGACTTCGCTGGCCCCGAATTTCAAATCGCCAAACGCGTAAACCCTAAACCCTAAACCCTAAACCCTAAACCCTAAACCCTAAACCCTATTTCTCTTTGCAGCAACCTCGAAGGATAAACCCTCATCTACACATGCAGACTGAAAGGGCTCTCTGTATATGGATAGGAATCTGTATATATATATATATATATATATATTTGTGAGAGGGCCTCCTCCAGTAGGGTTTGTGTTTAAGGGTTTAGAGAGCTTATGTTAAAGGGTTGACTGCTTAGTGTTTAGCGTTTAGGGTTTAGGGTTTAGGGTTTAGGGTTTGTGGTTTGCAGCCCAAGGTTGAGTTAGACCCCAATTCAGAGAAAAGAAGCAAACGGCTCTTCGGGTTTTTGTCTTCGCATTTAAACAAAGCCAAACAACAACTCGCAAAAGAAAAAGAAACAGATTTCGTAAGGGTTTAGGGTTTAGGGTTTAGGGTTTAGGGTTTAGGGTTTAGGGTTTAGGGTGGCTTGTTTTTTTTATTACGGATATAACGACAGCAACAAAATAAACATACAGCGAAAATATATATCATAATAATTTTAATTCTAATAAGCAATAATAATACATCTAAATAATAATAAATAATATGTATAATTAATTATTATTATTAAATAGTAATTAATAATAATAATACTAAATGATTATAATAATAATAATAAATAATTATAATAATTATATCTGTCTTTTTGCTGCTTTGTTTATTTCGCCTTTGTTTTTTATTTTTTAATTCTTTAAGTTTGTTTAATGATGCAGCAACCCTAAACCCTAAACCCTAAACCCTAAACCCTAAACCCTAATTCAAAACCCTAAACCCTTTTGGCACCATTATATAGATTAGCTGGATTAAAAAATATAAA